CTGAGTGAATTTGATGGAATCTAAATAAGGCTGATGGAATCTAAACAAGCCGATTGTAAGTTTTACAATCGGCTTGTTCGAGATTGGGAAGTACCGTATTTGTATCCATGATTACGTCCTTGCTTTATTTATTGAGTTCAGAAAATTGCTCCTTATTCTGTGCTTCGCTTACGGTATTTAAAGCGAAGTGAGGTCGATTACGCGTCGTTGCGCAACCTTCGATCAAAATATTTGCCATTCACTAGCTCAGGAATTTGTTTTTGCTGACCGGTGAAGTTCCAAAAAAGTTCATGCGGACTGGCAACGTTTCATAAAATGTTTACAGACTTGAAGAAATTTTGTTTGAAAGGCTTGATGGCAGGTATTTAAAAAAGCTTCTGCTTTTTAGAAAAAATTGAGTCAAGTACCAATAAAGGAGCTTTAGTGGAATTTCTTTAAAAAATAAGAAAGGTATGCTTGAAAGGGTTTTCAGAATTAAAAATTAAAGTGATTCATTTCAGCAGGTGAAAATTTGTCTGAAGTGTAATTCAGAGAAAAGCCAACTTTTATTTTTCATCAGTTAATTTCAAGTGCCATTGCTTAACCAAATTTCAGAAAAACGTAACTGACTTGATTTTTGCTTTTTATGCATTTATTACGCTGAAGAAAAGTTCCTGCGGACTGGCAAAAAAAGTTTGCGGACCGGCGCCGGTCCGCGGACCACGAGTTGGGGAACACTTTAGCCCAGCTTGATTCCACTTTTGACATGAACGAAGCTTTATTGAATGATGTAGTTCAGGAAATATTATACAGGTATATTATTTTCCTTTCCTTTCTCCCGCACATGCAGGGTCGAGACTACGACTCAGACGACGCCAGAGAAGACCACAAAATGCGTCTCGTTTCAGCCCGTTTGCAATGGGAGCAATTCCTGAAATCTCGGCCGAGGACGCACAGTACCATTTCCTTGCGTTCCGGGCAGATTGCGCCGAGTTTATCCTTCGAATCGCCTCAGGTAAGAATTGCAAGATTCATGTCGGAATTCCGCCAGAGGTACCCTCCAATTGTTCCCTCTGGGTTAGACCGATGCGAATGTCAAGAAACAGTATCTTGTCCATCATCTATTCGAAAACTGAGATCAGTTGTTAAGCGAAGTATTATGTTGAGAAACTGCTCGATTTGTTTCCAGATATTTTATAAAAGTCGTGGTATAGCCTCCGGAAAATGAATTTTGAATGTGCTGTACTGTATGTGAATTCATAATGTTTCCTGCGCCAAGGGCGCGCGGAAGTAGGACTGAAATAAAAGCTACATCCTGTCACTACGGGAATCTTCACCAATGTGCAAAAATCGTAGAAGTGTTTTTTACATTCTCTGACAAACATACACAAAAATAATAATCCGAAAGTCTGAGTGAATCTAACTCAATTTATAAATGCAGGTGGATCTTGAATTAGCCAAATGGGAACCCATCCAAAAGTTAATCATAAGCTTTACTGTTTTCCCAATTGAACTACAGATCTGCAGAGTAACAGCTTGACGGTAGGAAGTGTCAAACGCTCAACACTAGCTTGGCGATACCGGGGAAATCGGTTTACTTGCTCAGTTGCTTACACTGACATCTACCTACAATATTTTTACTACTGTATTACCTGTAGGTGCTCCTGCCGCCGACAGACGACGCCCGATGCCAGAGTCGCAGCGGCAGCATATCTTCACGAGGCTCTCGTCGGAATAGCGCAGATCGTCGCGGCAGCGCTGTAGGCATCCGTATGACACAAGCTGCTGCATTGGCAGAGTGGGACGGCCTCTCCGGACACAAAGAACTTGTAGCACGGATGCTTGCCACTGCTCCGGCACCTCGCCAGCTGTCGCCGTACACCGAAGAGGAAGGGGACGATGGGTGCGTCATCTCTGTGCCGCAGACTCATCACCGGCCAACGCGGCATCAAGCACGTGTGCCGTCAGAGGTCGTTCGCTACAACTCCTACGACGACGACGACGACGACGACGAGGGGGAGGAGGTGCACCATCATCTCCGGCACCAACGACACCACGGCCCCTCTTCGAGGAGCACAGAATCTGAGGGCGAAAAGCAATCAATATTATCTGAAAGGTGCGGAAACCATACAACCCCATAGACATAGAGCGTTTGGTAAACGCTTCCTAATCTCAGAAATAATATGATGCACACACGCTTCTGTACTGTATAAATAAGATAATTTGATCAATTTCGTAGATTAATGAGACCATCAGTGCCTTGAATCACACATCGATGTCTATGCGAACAAATTAATATTCTAACGTCATTCATTTAAAGTAACTTTTGATCACACATTTGTACTGCACTCAACACTGCATTAGAAGTAAAATGACTGAGGTATCCAAAAGCAACATCAGCAGAGTACTGTATGTGTTTGGAAGATAGGAAGATGTACGTTTTTTCAGTGTTTGTAATTTAAAGTTAACCCTCTATTTTTTCTTTCCAACCTGAATTTGTTCAACAAATCGAGGCTTAATTTTGAAATCATGAAGCCTGTCTGTTGCCTAAAATCTAGGTATTTTTAAAGATTCGATATGTTTTTTAAATTTGCATACTACTGTATTTCATTATAACGTAATTAAACAAAAGAATATTTTTATATTCATGAAAATCGCCATTGCTTAATTTTCAGTGCATATTTTATCCAGAGTATGCCACAAACTGTCGATTATATTGCAGCCTGAAAAGTTTAAATGTTTTGCGTCGAGGATGTTTTGATAATAGCGTGTAATAGAAATTAATACGAGTGTTTATATTCCTTCCTCTTCGCTGGGATTCGTCTCTGCTAAAAATTATCATGCTTTTTAAATATTTTGTGACAAAAATGTAATTATTGCCAGTCTGTCATGCTACGAATCTTATAATCGAACAAATTTTGCGTCGTTGATTGAGCGTATCGCTTGACAATTATTGATGTCCGAAGAATGGAGGGCTATTTCCAGTACAGTATTATGCCTTGCGAGATTCAAGTAAGCGGTTGAACAAAATCCCAATTTTGCACAATACGGAATTCACTTTCTAGTTCTGCTTCACCATTCACTGAGGTTTCTCCGGTCAAAATGCTCACCACAAAGTCCCTATATGAGTTATAAATTTCATCAGTACCTTCCATGTTAGGCAGCAGTCCCGATAATTTACTGAAATAATGAACTTTCTCTTCCGCATTCGAAAGAAAGTGTGAGTTCTCTTCTGGCTCATGAAGCAGCACGGCATATGTTATAAATTGCAATGCATACCAGTTATAGCCTGATAAAACTCGTATTAATACTAACGCAATTTTAAACACATATCTAATGAACTTCAGGTAACACTGTTCTCAGATTCTTCGATACGCATCTTTCCTCTTCAGAGGCAAACGTTGGCATTAATTTTTTTGCATTGTCTGGGGAATCCACAGAATACATTACAGTACTTATGTATGGAAGGTGTTTGAATACTCATTACTGTTCACCTGCAAGAGGTCTCTCAAAAGTTTTTGAAATATCTTGAAATGTATTTTTTCGGTTCAATTCCAGGAGCTTGAAGTAGATTTTAAAGAATAATCTCATTCGACACCTCAAAATATTGAATAGAATGAAATTTGAATAATGGTCTGTGAACCCAGATTTCATGTCAGAAAATACTTTTGCGCTCCAACAGGCGATTTCTAAAAAATAAGTTCCAGAAACTATGGTTAATGAGAAAAACTCCACAGAAGAGCTCAACATTATTATCTGGAAATATCCCTTGGATTACTTTAGTTTCGGGTGGAATTTATAGACATAATGGTTTCTCAACCATGCGTGTAAAAAAAATTCTATGAACATGGAAGCCCTTTTGAAAATGTTACCGACTGGATCTCATCAAATTAGTCACCATTCTCCAATATTTTTTTGCAGCCCATTCCCTATAATTAAACATGAAAGATAAAGAAGATGAAAATTCCCAGATAGATGACTCACTATAGTTATTGTGAAAACCCCCTCGTTGAAATAAATAAATAGCTCCTTTTTGTCTCCAACTTCCCCCACGAAAAAGTGTCCGCTTTTGCAAGCATGACATACTTATTTGCTCTAACGATTTATTAAAATTTACCGAAACTGGTTTTCAGCCAAAATTTGAAAGTTTTGAAATTTGTTTTTGACTGCTAATTTCCATTTGCATTTGTGATGAAAGCTTCCGAGCTTATAGAAAATTGTAATCGTTCGCTGATCGCACAAATGCCATGAAACTTGAGGATTGAAAAATAATAATAGAAATGAAAAAATAAGCGATAGTAAATTTCGTTGTCTTGTCTTCCATTTAAAATCATAGGGGCATGGAGTTTTCCAGAAACATGCGGGACTACGAGTCTCAGTTGAAATCGCAACAGGCCGCAGCCAAGAGGAGCCACAAAATGCGAGCAAGGCCTTCGTCCCGTGAGAAGACGCAGAATGTCAACCACAAAAAGTCTCGACCCTGAGTCTTCGCGAATTTTTTCGTTTCTTTTCATCATCCGTTTTATTTTTTATTTTTTTGCATGTGTGGTACCAGTTTTCCCCGCAGATTTTCTTTCAAGTCACTGCTCGCTCGGGTGTCCGAAAGGATTCATGCTGGGTATCCTCGGCCTTGACGGATTCTTCTCTCCCCCGGTCAACTTTTTTTTTCTCTTGCCTCCCGCAAACTCCGCCATGTTGTCCTCGCAGAAAAAGAAAGATAAAAATAATAAGCGGCAAAAATTTTTCCCGTTTGTCTGTTTGTTTGCTTGTTTGGCTGCAGAAAAGAAAAATCCCGTTTCGAAGCTAATGGAGCCCGACGGGAAGATTCTCGGGTCGCCCGAGTCGCTTTGTTTTTCGCGTGATACTCGAAATTGGAAAATATTTGTTTCTTCTGGAGACGAGGAGGACGAATGCGTCGCAAAACGTCGGGCACTTTGGTGCTTGTTTTTTATTGAATGGAAATTCCTGGTCTGTGTTGAGAATACTCAGTGGACATAACTGTCTTCTTCCTGTCGTTGGAAATCCCCTACAGAACATTTCCGAGGATGCAAAAAACAAACTGTGTCAAAAATTGATTTGAAGAGGAGAAGAAAAAGCTTTTTCCTGTTTTTGGTTTTTTTTCGACTCGTACGTGCAGTTCCCGAGAATTGCGGAACCGTATATTTTGTGATGTTCTAGAATGCGATTTTTTACGCCCCCACGATGTTCGAAATCCAAGGGGATCGCTGATGGAGAACTTGTTGAAAGTTGGACTACGACGGCTACTGAATGAGTCCTGCATTTGAGCGTGTTCCTTGTGACGTGTGTCGTGAACATGGAGGAATGATGAATAAAATAATATCGATTGGCTACAAGGGTTACGCTTACTTCAGCGTCCATAAATCGGCGAACTCTTCGATTAGAAAGGACCAAGGAGGCACACCATCCTGCAGGTTACTTGGCGATCGTTTACTTTGATATAGGTGTCGCTCCTTGTTCCTCAATTCGAAAATCCCTGCAAGGAAAACCTCACGCTTTTGCAACGCGATCGCTTCTTCATGTACAACACCTCTGAAATTCTTCACAGCGTTCATTAAGTATTCTGTGTTACGCATTAAATTCTGTAACATGCTAATACGAAAGAATTTTCACGTATTATATTCCTTCTGTATGATTCATTCGTTCGAAGCATTCACGATTACAGTGAATACAGTAGTGATGCTTTCATCCAATCATCCATGAATTATTTATATATGTCGGACTCTTTTATGATGTAATTCAACACCGCAACATTTTCTGGAATCTCGGTTTTCAAATGTCACCTGAAAATTATGGAATTTTCTTATTCATCAAATAAACTAAATGGACCCATACTTCAAACTATTGTATAAAATTACTTCCTTATTCTCTTTGTTGTATCTGCTGAACTCATTAAAGAAAATCTTTCAAAATTTGACGACAAATCGCTGCAGTATACAGGCTGCAAGAACCTTAAAAGATTGCTGGAGTACCGTCAACTCATTAAAATGATCGCAAGACTTCTTGAATTATGAATCATTCCCAACAGTTATCATTTTCTTTATCTTCAGACTGCCGTGAACATGAGAATCCTCACGGGTTTTATTGGATGTGCAACATGCAAGACTGCAGAGGACTCATCATAAGTTTGGCTAAATTTAACAAGGTTTTCATTGATATATCTTCTTGAAACGCAAGAAAAGGAAGTATTGGAAGTACTGTACTTTAGTAGATTTGCATGGAATTTTCAAAAGTTTTCGTTCGTGAGGCAAAAATTGAAAAACGAAAACTTGACCTTGTTTTCAAATTTCTGACTCATACTGTACAGTACAGTCAAACCTCGCTAAGCCGCCAGTGTTAGTTCAGCATGATTTTGGTGAAAAAAAATGAGTTCAGGAAAAACAAATACTGAGATCAATCTTTCTCCTATACCCTAATGTTTGGAAAGATGAAACTGCATCAGTATTTCATGGAAAAATAATTCAAACACAAAGAAAAAAAAAAACGGCATCAAGTCAAAGACAAAGTGACTGCTTTGCCCTCAAAATTATTTTGCCAGTCTGCAGGAAATAGCTCCAGGCCAATGAATTTTTCAAATGTAGCAATTAAGGATG